ATCAACCCGGGTCAAGAAAATCGTACAAACGTACTTCTGTGCGTATCTCGCGCCAGGTTTGAACAGCGCTGCAGATGCAAATTTCGCGCGAAAGGATTCACGTGACTATACGGAACTGTAGAAGTGGACTTTTGGCGGCATATCAGTATTTGACCCGGGTCAGCTGTCTTCATGTAAACGCTCACCTCTTTTGTCTATCGTACAGACTTTCAACCCGGGCTGAACTCGACCCGGGTTGAAATTTCTCATGTAAACACAGCCTTAGGCTGTGTTTTAATACATGAGAAATTTCAACCCGGGTCGAGTTCAGCCCGGGTTGAAAGTCTGTACGACAAACAAAAGAGGTGAGAGTTTACATGAAGACAGTTGACCCGGGTCAAATACTGATATGCCGCCAAAAGTCCACTTCTACAGTCCTGTATGGTCACGTGAATCCGTTCGCGCGAAATTTGCATCTGCAGGGCCGTTCAAACCTGGCGCGAGATACGCACAGAAGTACGTTTGTACGATTTTCTTGACCCGGGTTGATTTCAACCCTCCCCTTGGGGGGAGGGTTGAAATCAACCCGGGGCGAAATTTCAACCCGGGTCAAGCGCAATGCGTCATGTAAACGCGCCATTCACTTTGTGCACATGGCGGGTTGAAATCTGACCCGGGTCGAACTCAACCCGGGTTGAAACGCTTCATGTAAACACAGCCGGCCGCAACCACACTACGTAAAAATCACAGTACAAATTTTCATGCATATCTCGGTACAAGTCGGTACGCAACCACACTACACTTTTCGGTCTGCATAGATGACGTTTTCACGTGACCAGCACGTGACGTTCTCGTACCAAAGCGTGTGCCATGTGCTGGAAAAGACTGGGAAATTCAAAAACAATGCTGATGCTGATGCTATGTACGACGACCAGGCTACAAAAACAAAGTTGTACACAGGAGATGGAGCGCGAAAACGACGAAAACGACAAACGTGGCTTTCTACAGGGGTGCGCTAGTTGCTGAAAACCTACAAAGCGCATTTTGCATTTCACACGCGTCGGCATGACGATTTCTACTGTAATGCCGTTTGTACGTGATTTTGTACCTAGTGTGGTTGCAGCCTTATCGTGCATGTTGTTAGAACTGATGGAAATGCTTTTTCCTTTGATTAGCTACATCATTGTATTGCAAAAACGTTTCAATGAGATACTGAAGTAACGTCTTCTGCATAGTTACGGGACCGGCGCTGACTCTGCCGATCACGGGCGTTCTAGAGTCGACGGGATGTTTGTTTGTTTGTTTCTTTTATTTGAATTCGTTTAGAGCACAGGCAATTCTGCCTTCTCACCAGAGGAAAAACCTCCGGTTCCTGCTAAGAACGAATATAATATTATGAGAGAAGGAAATATTAAAAAGAATCATAACATGATAATTCCAAAGCACAAAGTTTGTATATAATTCGTCTGTCCTGACGTTTCCTGGGACTGGCGCTGACTCTGCCGATCACGGACGTTCTTCTTCTTCTTCTTATTATTATACTGACGGCAACTAACATCCATTCTGATTGCATTTACTCGTCTCCCTACTCCGTATTTCTTTCCAGAAAATCTCCCCATACAGCAGGGAGTCGTTTACATAATATGACTCCCTGCTATACATCTACATGACCTTATATAAGTTATAATAATTATGCTATCGGCCTACATGCGATTCCCGGGCTGGTCGACAGGCGGCCCAGCCAGCCTGCTAGTGGGATCTCGGCCTCGCACACATATCCAAACAAAATGTTACTGCACTGAATGCATTCCCCCGATACACTTCGCATATATACTCATTCTCTTGTTGGTACTGTACCCTTGATGGTACGGGACAGGTACGGGATAGCGCCAGGCATTTCGATGGCACACACAAACAAAAATATTGGGGCCAGCTGTCTTTGCTAGTACGGTACAGTACGGGACAGATACGGGATAGCGCCAGGCGTGACACAAACAAACAAACAAACAAACAAACAAACAAACAAACAAACGAGAGAGCTTGGAAGCTCAGGGCCCTACGCTATGCTTTTTTGCTTGCTCATCATGCATGTGACGTGCCAAAGCCGTGTGAACCCTGGCTGGCGCCAAACGATACTGAAGTAACGTCTTTTGCACTACTACGGCGTTAATATTTTTTGTATATTTTTAATTTTTAATTTTTTTTGTTACGTTTCCTGTGAACGCGTTAACGGTAGGCATATGCGGATAATGCCGGCAGAAAAATTGGCAAATTCGGTACTTTTTTGGTAAGTTTCCTGCATGTTTGGTATGTGGATAAAGAAATGGAGCAGAATTCGAGGAATTGCCCGCCATAGGTTTGTATGGTTCTGCCAACTTCACTGCTTTTCGAGCAGAATCTGCCACCTTTTCGAGCATTATACGCACACCCCTAGTGACCGGCGCTGACTCTGCCGATCACGGGCATTCTGGAGTCGACGCGATGTCTGTCCTGCCGTTTCCTGTGACCGGGGCTGACTCTGCCGATCACGAATGTTCTGGAGTCGACGGGATCTCTCTTCCGACGTTTCCTGTTACCGGCGCTGACTCTGCCGATCACGGACGTTCTGGAGTCGACGGGATCTCTCTTCCGACGTTTCCTGTGACTGGCGCTGACTCGCCCGTTCAGGATTATTTTGGAGACGACCGAATCTCTCTTCCAAAGGTCGTTTTAGCTGACGCATCATGTCACATATTCGGCAACTAACGTCCATTCTAATTGCATTTCTTCATCTCCCTACTTCGTATTTCTTTCAAGAAAATCTCCCTAGACAGCACGGAGTCGTTTACATAATACGACTCCCTGCTATTATACATCTATAATATACGTTATAATTATTATGCTATCGGCCTACATGCAATTCCCGGGCTGGTCGACAGGCGGCCCAGCCAGCCTGCTAGTGGGATCTCGGCCTCGCACACAAATCAACACAAAATGTTACTGCACTGAATGCAATCCCCCGATACACTCCGCATATATACTCATTCTCTTGATTGTACCGTATTCTTGATGGTACGGGACAGGTACGGGATAGCGCCAGGCATGCCGATGGCACAAACAAACCAAAATAATATTGTGGCCAGCTGTCTTGGCTGGTACGGTACGGTACGGGACAGATACGGGATAGCGCCAGGCGTGACACAAACAAACAAACAAACAAACAAACAAACAAACACCAAACGAGAGAGCTTGGAAGCTCAGGGCCCTACGCTATGCTTTTATGCTTTTTTGCCTAGCTCATCGTACATGTTATAAGAACTGATGGAATTGTCTTTTTCCGTTCATTGGCCACATCACTGTATTGCAAAAACGTTTCAATCGGTTTGAATATTATGAGTTAGGCAAAAGTATTTGCAGAATTTATTGCGGATTGTTGTTTCTCTGATAATCATCTACTTTTGTTTTGCTCCTTCTTTAATTTTTATCTCCTTATATTGTAAATCAACAAATTTTGGCCGATGAGAAATTGAAACCTCTCGATTAGAGAGGTTAAGATGCACGTATTTCCGACGTGACGCGCAGTTTCACGTCAAATTTGAAATCGATCGGTATTTTTGCTCTCACATGCATCCATTGCTCAATCATGCATCATTTGCCTATATGACAAACGTTGGCCTGCGATTTACTTTGTCCGGTTGGTACCAAGCGGCGAAATCAGCGAAATTAAATCGCCAGCGAACATTAGTTGATTTTAATACAGGAATCGGATTTTCTGGCCTTTTTGTAGTAATACATCTACATTGACCTGTTGAGCCAATGACGACGCCGAATGCATGGTTGCCTGAGGAGCACATTACATAACTTTACAGTCTCCTAAAATACGTATCCTGTCCGACGGCAAAAGAGGCTGCAGATTTAGTTTTTCTGCGCGTCGACGGGATGTCTGCGACGCGAAAGTTCAGCTCGCGTTATTTGGCTCGCACGTCGAAAAAATCAACGCGAGTGACCTGCTGCTCACGTCGAAATTTGGACATTACATAACTTTACAGTCTCCTATATAAATACGTATCCTGTTCGACGGCAAAAGAGGCTGCAGATTTTGTTTTTCTGCGCGTCGACGGGATGTCTGTCCTGACGTTTACTGGGACCGGCGCTGACTCTGCCGATCACGGCGTTCTGGACTCGACGGGATGTCTGTCCTGACGTTTCCTGGGACCGGCTTAGACTCTGCCGATCACGGGCGTTCTGGACTCAACGGGATGTCTGTCCTGACGTTGCCTGGTACCGCCGGACTCTACCGACCACGGGCGTTCTGGAGTCGACGGGATCTCTCTTCCGACGTTTCCTGTGACCGGCACTGAATCGCTCGTTCACGCTTATTTTGGAGACGACGGGATCTCTCTTCCAAAGTATGTTTATGCTGACGCATCCTATCACCTTATCGGCGTCTATTCTAATTTAATTCCCTCCTCGTCTCCCTATTTCTTTCCAAATCCCACTCTACATCAGGGAGTCGTATGCATAATACGACGAATATTGGTACGGTACGGGACAGATACAGGAGCCCGCAAATATTGTGGACAGCTGTTATGTACAATCCTGTAGAGCCTTTGTAGTCACAGATACGGGACAGATACGGGACAGAGACGGGATAGCGCCAGGCGTGACACAAACAAACAAACAAACACACAAACAAACAAATACCAAATTAAAGCTGTGTGGACCCTGGCTAGCGCCAGACGTTACTGAAGTAACGTCTTCTGCATAGCTACGGGAATTAAAGCTGTGTGGACCCTGGCTAGCGCCAGACGTTACTGAAGTAACGTCTTCTGCATAGCTACGGGAATAAATAAACAAACAAATAAACAAACAAACAAACAAACACCAAATTAAATCTGTGTGTACCCTGGCTAGCGCCAGACGTTACTGAAGTAACGTCTTCTGCATAGCTACGGGAATTAAAGCTGTGTGGACCCTGGCTAGCGCCAGACGTTACTGAAGTAACGTCTTCTGCATAGCTACGGGAATAATACTATACTTACTCTTCGATTAGGTATCGAATCACGCAATGGCTCCTCCCAGTATAGGCTTTAGAAATTCGGTCCACAATGTCTTCATTGAGCTTACGGCAATTGGTATAAGGTCCAGTCAGTTCAGGAAGTATATCTCGCACTTCATCATAGGCGTCAATATATAATTGCGTTAGTTTGACTTGCTCTATGTTTAGCCGTTCGTTCGGATCAACGCAAAATGTATGCCTGAAAAAGTGTCTAGCATCTGTGGTCAGAAGAATGGGAAGATACAAAATTGCGCGAAAAATGTACATGGTCAAACAGACCCCAAATCTACGATGCTTGAAACGAATATCATCGCTGTGGATGTTCGGCTCGGACTAACGAGCGACACTGCGCAGATGCCTGTTCACACTATACAGTTGCTGATCGCCCGGCAGGTAAAGTCAATTTTCCTAGTAGCTACCAGGTCATTATTATAGTATGAAACAGATGGTGTAGAAAGACTGCTATTTAAAAGATCGCAAATCAAGCAATGTGGCGATTGCACCCAGAAAATACATTAGCTACTTCTTGGTGTTTCTGCCAAACACACACACATTGTCTTTCATTTTCTTTCATTTCTTTCACCTTTTTGATGAGAATAAAAGCCATGTTATAAAGCTTACCAGCAGATAAACCTCGCCAATCCTGACGTGTTCGATCTATACCAGCCTTAGTATGTAATACCTGGGTCAATGGGTTGGGTTTGTTATGAAAAGGAAGATCGGCGGTAAAGAGAATATATGCAACGAATGCTCTGGAAAATACACACAGGAAGATAAGAGATATGCAAGTTGAGGGCATTGAAAAGGGAAACGTTCGAAGCGAAAATTGACTGTCACCATCGGCACTCTGATGTGTATCTATATTCAGGCTGCGTTTACACGACAACGATTGAAAACGATTTGCGTTTACACGACAACGATTGAAAACGATTTGCGTTTACACGACAACGATTGAAAACGATTTGCGTTTACACGACAACGATTGAAAACGATTTGCGTTTACACGACAACGATTGAAAACGATGTGCGTTTACACGACAACGATTGAAAACGATTTGCGTTTATACGACAACGAAATACGACCTTAAAGGAACGAAATCGCTGCGTTTACTACTATCGTTTACACGACAACGCCCGAAAACGATACTTAAACGGAACGCAATGGAAACGCACTTCAAAGTGTTTTGAAACGTTTTCAAAACATTTTCAAAACGTTTCCGTTCTCGTGTAAACGGTGAAAACAGTGAAAACGATTGGAAACGGAGCGCGGTCAGGGAAACCATTCCGTGCTGGAGTATATTTCGCGGGAAATACCCAATCCTTGCAACCACCAGCACGTACCAACTCCAATTAACGTGTTACTTCCCGCCCTTGTGCAAAGCCACCACGTGCTAACTCCACTCCTCTCCAGCCTGACCGCCCGTTTTCCGCTTTCGTGTAAACGGTTCAAAACGATTTGCCGTTCTCGTGTAAACGGTTTGAAAACGATTCGAGGCCAGCCCGGTTTCGTTCTGTTTCGTTTCATTTCGCCTCCGTGTAAACGCAGCCAGAGAACGGGTTGAAAACGATTCGAGGCCAGCCCGTTTTCGTTCCGTTCCGTTTCGTTTCATTTCGTCTCCGTGTAAACGCAGCCTCACCGTTTACACGAGACCGGCAAATCGTTTTGAACCGTTTACACGAAAACGGAAAACGGGTCGTATTTCGTTGTCGTGTAAACGCAAATCGTTTTCAATCATTGTGGTGTAAACGCAGCCTAAGTCATTCTGTCATATGTGTATTGCATGCACGCAGATATACACACCGCCAGAGCACGCTGAAAGGGTGCTTAGCGTAAAATTTTGGAAGTTGGGTTTTAGTGCATGTACCATATACCTGCAGCTTCATCATTCTTTTAAAAATTTGTCAAAACTCCCAGTAATACATGTGACAAAGTTACAAAGTTACAAGCATTTGTGTAGGTTGCGGTCTGGCAGTCGCAAACACAAAAGTACGCTTGCCACGCTAGTTGCAACAGACGTAACGGAGAATCATTCTGGACAGAATTTTGTCATAGTTTGCACATAGTTTTCCAGCTAGCACCAAAGAGCCATGTAAGCATCAGGAAAGAAACATCTCTAGATCAACACTTCACACAATTTGTGGTGTTTACGACATTATTAGTGAGGACTGGCTAGTCATGGCCAGAATATCAATGTGCCGCAAAAGGCAAATCCAGCAATGCATGATACACATGCAGTGGTGGTACACAGTCAGTAAATCACATGTAGTATAAAGAGAAAAAGGGAGATTAAATTTCAGAGAGAAAATCTGATTAATTGGGAGAGAAAATCGAAGTTCACAGTGGTGGTGGTGCTGACAAACTTCATCCTGCCACTGATCAGCTACATAGAGGCGGATTTCGTGACGGCGCTGGATGTGGTGGAGCCGATTTTCGCGATATTTTGGTCGGACCTGTCCTTTCCTCGCTTCTCTCGGCATGCAGTGTCAAACCATTCTCGTTTCAGTTCGTCTCGATCTTGTGCTTTTACGATCGTGCATACTCCAGTGGAAATAGTTTGCTTTATTATTTGCACTGGGAATTGCACCGCAACACTGAACAGTTACTGCCAGCCCTCGGCAACGGCTTGCCTTTCACTGTGCCTTGTAGAATTGGTCCACCGAAGGAGAAGGCGAAAGGCAACCTGTGCTAGTCCCAGGAACTTCATGTCATGTAGCCGCTCTTCGACCTTATGCTGATGCTACAATGAGCGATGTTCCACAGGTAAGAAGACAAACAAACGAGTCAGAGCTCGCCAGGCTGGTGACGCCGAGAACATACCACACGGAGCTGATCGGATGGAGGTGAACTGGACCAGAAAATCCGCCAGGCGTTAGTTGAGGACCAGGTTTCCCGAAGTACCAGTTCCTCCATGATGGCGAAACGCGCTGCCACAAGAACTCCAGCGAGAACGAAAGCACAGGAACCAACTCCGCGGGCGAACTGAGGAGAGAACACTGAAATATCTGTGCGCAATGATTTTCTCTTCGACAGCACGCGTTGCTGTTCCGCTGCATGCATGCGTTTTTCTTGTTGTTTGATTTTCACACATAATTTTTGGTGCTGCTTTTGCCCTTTTGGCGTTCTGCGCACTGAGTGGCACTCACTCAAAAATGTCCACTACATCTCATTCTTGGGAGATTCAGATCACCTATGGCTTATTTTTTTCAACTTGGAATTCTCCAGACATTCACCCATGATTTTTGCGATTGCTGCGCCGAAATCTAAGCGAAAACGACCAAACTTTGGCTAATCCGTGCCGTATAACTGGAGGGAAATTTGTGAAATGCTGCGGTAGATCACTGAGTCTGGGGGTTTGAATCAGCACAGCAAATACCAGCTTCGTGGACTTCAGGGTGGACTGGATCAAAGATTTGAGAATAGAGGAGAATAGAGGCCTGTGATTCGTCAGTTGCCATCACGTCACGTGACATCCGCGCAAAGCCGTGCGCGACTCCACGCTTTTGTATTGGACTCTGAGCCCTGAACTTCAAACGCGTTTTTCTGAGTTCAGTGTGCAGTGAGCTAAGCACCCTTTTCGCGTGCGCTGGCTCAATTTATGTATATTGCATGCAAGCACATACACACGCCGGATTAGTTGAGTGTGCTTTTTCTTCCAGTTGGTTTTCTCATGACATGTTTTGTTTCCCTTCCCAAGTCTTCACGAATAAAATTTAGTAACGTATTACTCCAACCAAGGGTCTTGGCTTGAAGCAAGCAATGCTCTAACCAACGAGCTACATGTATGGTGTAGCTGTCATCTAAGCAGAGACCGTTCAACATTCTCTTCAAATCAAAGATAGGAGAAATTTCTTTTAGATTCTAACCTTTGGAACCCAGTTGGAGCCCAGCCGGCTTTGCTGCTTCACCTCACCAAGTCAATTTCGGATCGCAATCTTTAGTCACTTTCTAACATCATTGACACCCTTATGATACATGCAAATTTTAAACTCGGATACTGAGCCAGTAATAGGGCACGAAACTGAAAGGCCACTGAGACATTCAGCGACCTCCGGCATCGTCTTGTAACAGTCGGCATTCTTTGGTACCGTGGGACTTAGCTTGTGCACATTTCCCCTATGCTCACCTTCACCTCTTCTGTCCTACGTAACCATGAACCTTACAAGTTGGAAGGCTGTTGGTTTGCTCACTGGAGATGTGTTAGAGCTAGGTCTCGGGTTGCTGAATCTCTCAGTAGCCTGTCAGTTTTGTGCCCTATTAGCGCACTTTCTGACCGCTTAACATATTGTTACAGTCGTGAATTGTTGCTGCATAACTCGTTCTCATGTGTTTCTTCTCTTCTTTATATGATACATGGCCCCACGTGTTGCTCTTGGCTGGTAGCCCGATGGGTGCCAATCCCCGGGCTACGGCCGAGTGCTGATGCAATAATACGACCACCACGAAAGGTAGTGAAAAACAACGTTATGGTTCGAAGTCTCATTGGCCTTTGTTGCAGCATTCTTCAGTTGCAACTTGCAATGACGGATCGAATAATCTTTCTCATAGACAATTAAAGAGTTTTTGGACCCTGGCTAGCGCCTGAAGTCTTTTGCATAGTTACGGGAATTAAAATGCTGTTTCAACGACACTTCATCGATTGAACAGGCGGCGCAGATACTAACTTTTCATAGCAATCAGGAGAATCAGCGAATCGGACATTTGATGTAGTAAAGAACAATAATAAAATACGGATAGGCATATACACAGAGTACCGGTGTGGTCATTATAAACAGATGTGTATTGGTGCGATCTTAGTGAAAGCGTGTTTTCCAGGTCTTTCAAAGAACAAATGTGTTCTTATAGAGCAAAAGACGCAGCCCCTACAAGTTTTTTTCATTTCGCTGACCCTCGCAGTTCCATCTGTTGTTTAGGGTACGTGTTTTTGGCCGTGAGAATGAGCCTCAGGTCTACAGAGCCATCATTGCCCCACCACCATTGCTTCGTCTCGTTGCAGCCCTTACTCAGTAGGTTTTGCGTTTGCCCTAGTTTCAGAACCATTGTGTTCCATTATTATTATTATTATTATTATTATTATTATTATTATTATTATTATTATTATTATTCAAACAGTAGTTTGGAGGCGGTGGGAAAAACAGTTTCGTAATACGTATTCGCATGCAACGACGCAAATCCACACAATTCAGTAGACACTTTTTCTATCAAACGTTTTCTTTCCCTTCTCTTCAGGATAGTACAGGGAATGTTGGAAATTAGAAAAACACATAACTATATAGAGAGTGAAAGAAAGAAAAAGTCAACACTTCAACATAGGTGTTAAAAATGATTAAAGTGTTAAAAACTCAAAAACAAACAGCTGCAAGTTGTAGACAAACACGTTGAACACATCAGGGAACACTTGTCACACTTTCACGAGGTGTGACACCAAACAACTGCAACGATAACACATTCTCCTTCTGTACACATAGTTCTGGATCTAGTTTACGAATATACAGAGCTTCTAACACAGCAAGATGTAACTTAGACCTTCCACGAGTCAAAATCGAAAAGATATCATCACTATACAACTTACGACAACTAGCACTGCCCGACAAATGACGCTTGATGGACGATGTCCGATCACTTAGCTCTGTCACCTTCGACGCCTGCCGTTGTTCTCTTCCGTTAGGCTTGTTTGGTTGGTTGTTCCGGTCCACACCTCCAACGTCCGTTGATTTCATGTCCGTTTTTGTTGATTTCATGGCCGTTTTCGTGTCACTTCTTGGTCTTCCTCGTTTCCTCTTGTTGATCGTTGTTGTCACTTCCATTATCGACGTATTCAGATCCCCAGTACTCCGTCTCTTCACCTTGCTTCTGGTAACTCTTCCGGTGTCTATGAGCTCCAGTGTCACATTGGGTGGTTTTCGAGACGGTCTCCCTCGCTTCCTCACGCTTGTCTGAGATGGGCCAAGCTCCCCGCCCGTCGAGGCGGAGGCGCGCATGCGTACATCTACACTGGACGCAGACAAAGGCGTTCCAGTATCGGACTGCACAGCACATTTTGGAGGACGGCCACGACGAGGACGAGTACCACGAGCGTCAACAGGGACAAGACCTAACGGCACATGTTGACGGATGCGTGCGCCCAGGTGTTTTAGGGTTCTACCTACGTACCGATCTTCACATTCTCGGCACTGCGTCGAAGGTGACAGAGCTAAGTGATCGGACATCGTCCATCAAGCGTCATTTGTCGGGCAGTGCTAGTTGTCGTAAGTTGTATAGTGATGATATCTTTTCGATTTTGACTCGTGGAAGGTCTAAGTTACATCTTGCTGTGTTAGAAGCTCTGTATATTCGTAAACTAGATCCAGAACTATGTGTACAGAAGGAGAATGTGTTATCGTTGCAGTTGTTTGGTGTCACACCTCGTGAAAGTGTGACAAGTGTTCCCTGATGTGTTCAACGTGTTTGTCTACAACTTGCAGCTGTTTGTTTTTGAGTTTTTAACACTTTAATCATTTTTAACACCTATGTTGAAGTGTTGACTTTTTCTTTCTTTCACTCTCTATATAGTTATGTGTTTTTCTAATTTCCAACATTCCCTGTACTATCCTGAAGAGAAGGGAAAGAAAACGTTTGATAGAAAAGTGTCTACTGAATTGTGTGGATTTGCGTCGTTGCATGCGAATACGTATTACGAAATTATTATTATTATTATTATTTGGAAAGGATTGGGAGAACTTCAAATTCAAAGGATCAGTCGGGGAAGTGAACTGCCTGAAAAGAGAAAAAAAACCACCTGGTGGGTCTGGCGTTTTTTTCTCTTTTCAGGCAGTTCACTTCCCCGACTGATCCTTTGAATTATTATTATTATTATTATTATTATTATTATTATTTGTAAGAAAGGTTTGCTCCCCACACCGGAGCTCGCGCTATTCCGCCGACTTTACTTGACACTTGACTGACTCACGACTGCCATCCAGAGCACACGAGAAGTCCATCGAACCTTCGACTCGGCAAACCTGCAAGAAAGCACCACTCCCTGCTCAATACACAGTGTTTCGGGGAATTCACCCCTCATCAGTTGAGCTTGAGTAGGCTGAGGAAGATTGTGGGGAGCAAACCTTTCTTACAAATCATCGCCGAAGTCGCAACCACTACTTCGTATTATTATTATTATTATTATGTAAACTTAGAAAGAGTAAACTTAGAAAAAAAACCCGAGAGAGCTTGAAAGCTCAGCTCCCTACGGTATGCTTGTTTGCCTAGCTCATCCCGAAAGTTATTCAATCTGACGGAAACGTTCTTTCAATACAATGATGTAGCCGATCAGTTTTAATACTGTGACTTTCTGCGACTGGAACCTGGCTAGCGCCAGACGTTACTGAAGTAACGTCTTTTGCATAGCTACGTGAATTAAAGCTGTGTGGACCCTGGCTAGCGCCAGACGTTGCTTGAGTAATGTCTTCTGCATAGCTACGGGAATAAAGTGCAGTTGGTACAGTTCAGTACTTACAATTGGTAGATGTCGCATGGTCTTTTCTGCTTTCCAAAAAAATACATCTCTGGAGCCATATATGCACAGGGATGAAACTTGCACCTCACTTTACGTCGTTCTATGAACTCACCACTAGAGTCGGCCACTCTTTTACCCAACCGAGTTGAAATCCCATAGTCTGAAGAGATAATGGACGGAACACACAGCGGGTTTAGACGAAGGGTTGAAGATGAATACGGAACCTCGACGCCAATGACGGTCCGAGCCAAAGCAAAAGCGTAAAAGCCATGCATCCGAAAAATTAGAAATCTGGCTTCATCCACTCATTGGAGAGCGGTACCCTACATTTATGTACAGTGCAGTTGTAGATACCGTTGACACAACAGTACATTCTGCATTATCCGACCTGTACAATATTTTCTAGCCGCATTTGACGCTACAAGTGCCAGGACAGGGAATACTAAATTCAGTCAGGTTTTACAAATTAAACTGAAACAAGTGTACCCTGGAAGAATGCATGGAGACGTACGTCAAAGAAAGACGCACAGCAGAAAAGGAAAAAAAGGCTAAATGGTAGCGATTCACTGACCGCAAACACCACTTCAAATGCAATACGGTGTAGACCAGACTAAAGTGTTATGGTATCGTGGTATATGTTTCGGGCTCAAACTTTCAGACTTGCTAGATGTTGAATGGTGCATTCCCCCGTAAAAGTTACATGTATTTTTGTTGCTATAGGTTCTGCTGAACCAATTGTTGCAATTGCCTCTGTTTATGGCAGTGAAGGGTCATGGCCATGTCATGGTCTTGTCACGTGGTCTCGTGTTTAAAACTGGACACATACAATATTTTTTGATAAACAAGACTTGTCCCTTACCTACGAATTTTATTCGCTCTTTTCCATTTCTAGTTTGTGTTATCATCACGTTGGTGGGCTTCAAATCCCTGTTAGGCCAAAGAATAATAGAAGAATTAAGACATTGATTCGAAGCAGGCTGGTCCACAAAGCCTGTCGTAACACTAAAACATATAGCGAAGTAACACTGGATTACTGAATTTAATAATCCTAGGGTCCACTGCTATGTTGGATACAGTTTGTGTTTTGCATTTGCCACTCGAATCAAACATGCGAGTTGGATATGAACATACTCACCATTGCCATCCTTCACTCACTTCTTTCGATTCTTTCACACATCACGAAACTGGGCCTCCTACTGAACCCCGACCAAACGCAATAATTATTATTAATCGCCCACTGTAAGACAGCCCCGGTTCCATCTACTTCACTGCCCTCTGTGGCAACTTCCAAGTGTCCCCTTCCCAGTGTCTCCGCTACCCCGGAGTGCTAGTCGACCAGCACCTCGCCTTGAAGGAGCAGGCCGGGAACGTTGTTGCTAATGTCAACCCCAAGCTAGCCGCAGTCCGCAGAATATGACATCACATCACTACCCAGGTACAACGTTCCTTTTACCTAAGCATTATCCAATCCACCATAGAGTACCCTAGCAACTGTAACGTACACATCATATCAGCATCCCTATCGAACACACTCATTCGATGCTTCAAGCGTAGCCTCAGGAGAACATTTGGCTACAAACCATGCCACCCAACAGCTACCATTTGTCACCACCCCAAAATCATTCCTGCCGCCATCCGTTAAAACCTAAAAGCATTTTTCCTTGTCCTTGTCAACGGCTTTAGAATGTTGAAGTTTGCCTAGTTCGTGCTGTCAATGTGTCATGCAAGTGATGTGTTTTTCGTGAACGTTCGAACCTTTTTTCTAATTGTCCGTGCATGTGCAAATGGTTCACCCATGTTGTTTAGTTTTCGACAACGTGGTCCTCGGCTGTAGTTTATCAGTAGAATTGTACTACCATGTACAGTATACTCGTTTTATGTCGCTTTGCCACCAGTGCACTATGTACCGTCAGCTGTCATGAATCCTGTATTCATCCGTTTCCAGTTTTATTAGTTGAAGTAAATAGTTGACATTTCGTGTGTTTTTAGGACTGTGTTATTACATGTACTCCTTTTGCCTATTCTGCAGTTGCAAGCGTGTGTTCACATCATTGGCCTCGCTCGTTCCTCATTTCTTTTGTTCCTTTGGCGTATGCGAAGACTAGCCAAGCTTGCTTGGTGATGTCAACGCGGACAAGCGTATAATACTGTCTATGAGTTGCTGTCTGATGATCGGTTAAAACCGTGAAACTCAGAGTTACAGAAGAAACGCTTTTCATCCCTCTCAAGTGTGTGTAATGTCTATATAATAATTATGTGTGCAAGGCTGCCGCAGCCCTCTACTTGCTTAGCTTTTTGTACTTAGAGCTAACAGCAACCATACGGACGATTTGACCAGGAGACAGTCCGCCTTCGCTTTAGTCCTGCATAATTCTTCATCGAGGTGTAGTTTCAATGCTTTGCCCTAACTTGGCTGCTGACAGGTGGATTTCGCTTGCAGCTGCTACTAGCACTACTAGTACTACCACTGTCTTTCTTGTCGCCTTCTTT